TTTTTTTTTCAAGCGATGTTTGTAGAGCAAATGAGGCCCAGTTCAGACCTGGTTAGTAGAGCTTTGATACAAATAAATGTGGATATTCTTTTGCCGATTTTCATCCCCTATAGGCAGATTTGACGCCCACTCTCTCCATATAACCTTTTGATCTGTAGGTGTTTATACAGGAGGTGGGCAATGACCTGTCAGCACTGTTTTTTTTTTTTTTTTTTTTTTTTTGATTCTGCGACGTGGTGAACGTTTTGGAATTTGATGTAAATTAATCTCTAGAGAGAGAGAGAGAGAGAGAGAGAGAGAGAGAGATAAAGTTGGTTTACTCTGCGGATAAAATCAACCAAAACAGGGATACTTACCGGTTTGTGATTGGCAACTTCCGCTTTGTTCCAAAGCCTGCGCCTTGACAGTTTGGGCAGCAGTAGATGAGGAAGATGGGTCGGACTGTTGCGAATAGAAGCTACCCCATCCTTATGTCTCTCTGTCGTCCCTGCCACTCGGCGGCTGAAATTAAAGAAAAATACATACACATAAAAAGAACTGGAAATGAATGCTATTGGAGGATGTTACATGGATGAACGCGTATTTCAACACCGGAGTAAGTAGTATATTGCGTGTTTGTATGAAAGACACAATATTTTTGATGACAGGTCCCCGACAAGGGTTTATAACTATACGGGTAAGACCGTGACCAAAATACCTAAAACAGAAAACGAAACCGGTAAAAGCGCAAACAAAAGCGGGGTTCTAAAATAACCCAAAAATAAAAGCTCAGTTTTGCATATTATCACGAAACAAAAAGCTACACAGGAATGCGTGGCGCACCCTTCCCCAAAAAACAGAGTATTTTAGGCAGTTTATAGATCTATCAATATTAACATCATGGATAACTCCATATTACATCATGGATTGTTTCTCCGAAAAAGATGGCCTCCGTGCAGTGCGATGTTTCTGTACATGGCCTGTTAATTTCGTGTCTCGGATACGTAATCGCAGCAGACGGTCCTCAATTGCTTTAAGTCTCCTCTCGCTCTTCTTGCCGGGTTTGTACAGACAATCAATGCACTGCGATCCTCGAATTAGCCACATCTCTGAACGAGTCGCTGCGTATTCCTTCATCCGCGTGATAGGTGTGTCCTCACTGTGGGGGCTTGTAAAATGTTGTAATTGACTCGAACCATTTTAACGCGTTAGTTACAGACACACAGTGCGTGTACAACAGAAGTCTTTGTCTGTGGTTGAATGATTTCCCCGGCTGTCATTCAATCTGTGTCTCAGCCTTCACCGAAACTATCAGAATTTTAAGAAATATAACCGACCCTGATCGAGGTCTCACCACAGGCTGCGTTCAATGTTTTTAGGAAGACCGAAAGATAAACACATATCTTGCATTCTCCATATGACGTGTCTCATCTGCAGATACAACCCTATCACTACTGAAGGTAGTGGTTTTGGTTTCACCGCACGTAAAGCCCTCCGTGTAAAGACTTCAGACCAACGTGTCGCTCTCGAGGATGACAGGGCGTCAGGCGCGCGGATCCGGGCCATGAAGGCTACTTTAATTACGTGCACACGTTGACAGAAATGTGAGAGATTTATGTAAAAAATTATAGTTGATTGTAGCAATGTGGCAATCAAGCAAAAAAAATTTTCGTTTCAAAAAAGTTCTATGTGCTGCAATTAAGATTGATCAAATTGAGTGCTTCAAGTTTTAAAAATCTACACAGATAAAGTATTCTTCTAATGGTTGTATTGAAATTTGACTTTCCAGCAGCTTAATTGTTTATAAACTTTGACTTAATTCTGGGTCAAGTACGTGCAGAACGGTGGACGCACGACTATTCAGCGTCTATATGCATCATGAAAGATAAACAAAATGTAACATATGGTGTTTGCAAAAAGTGTCCTTAAATTTTGTTTAAATCTTCACCTCCTTCATTTGGCCTCACCGGGACGCATATGTACATTAAATTTAAGCTTCACTAAGACTAGTCTTGTTCATTTAGAATGGTGGTTTAAAAATGATAAAATATACATCCGAACTATTTAAAAAAGAAAGAAGAGGTTTATTTTTAATGTCATTTACTTGTACTGCCAAGTACAAAATTAACCAAAACGATTTCATTTCCTTATTTTCCTCTTGCCTTGTATCCCCTTCACTTTCTTTCTTTCGAATTTTCGCCCAGCTAAGATCCCATCTTCTTAGTTATTGCCGTCTACTATCGAAGCAGATTTAAACGCACAAACCAATACAAATAGAATTTGCTTCAAAAGTCTAATTTGTTCTTTCAGCACTGACTCCCTTTTGTAACAGTTTAGTATTACAAAACTAACTGTTGCGGATCAGAAATCATCATCCTCTGATCACATATCGTATAACCATAGCAACCTCATAGCAAACGCGGTTTTTGGCGGCCAGCATCAGGCTCCAAAATCACTGACCGCTGACTGCAGGTCATCAGGCGTGAACCCCAACCGTTGGATCCGACTCATTAGTCAATTTGCTCCGAAATTAGTGCGGTTTTGTTACCCACAAGGAACGGCATGTGGTTTTCAAAAATTGACAGCTTTGGTGGAACTCTCTGAGATCTCACGATAGGAAAATGTACAGAGTCAGTTTCCCCGAGCAACTGATTAATACAACTGGTGCACGACGTCTGTACCAATTAACTACTGTATCTGCAAACTATTACGCAATCTTTGTAGTGTCATTTTGACAAGTTTTTTTTTTGCGAAAACCTGGTCTATGGACTTTCGACATCTTCCCGCCTTTCTCGTTTTCAATTCATGGGATTATAAATAACGAAAAAAAGTTTAAATTGTGTTAACTCTTTTTTCTTTGTCTTTGTTTTTGCGGGCAATCAGTACACACTACATCACAAAGTTAATTATAAGACTATGGTCAACACGTTGAGCTTTTATTAGAGTTTTTGGCATATCAAATTTCGCAACCAACACGCATTACGCTCCCCCCCTCCCAAAAAAAAAAAAAACAACACAAAGTCCTTGTCACCGAGGATTTCCTGTCATATTCGAATAACTGCATTTGTGTAGTTTAATGAAAGTCTTTAACTTTACTGTGGGTAGGCGTGAAAGCTCTTAATCGCTCCACTTAAGCCAGAGAACTGGTATTTGGTTCTGATATTTGATGACCTCAGTATTTTTATCGAAGGTGTCTCACATGTAACGTATATTTGAGAAAGTTCCCACATTTTGTTCAACAGATATTTGATACATGCGTACATCCGTAGACACGCATCCAACGTAAAGCCACATAATTCACCTAGCCTCTATGTCATATGTCAGCCAATATATATTGTCAGTGATATCATACCGAATAGACATTAATCAGTATATGTTTACATTATAACGTCGTCAGGATTTAAAAAGAGTCACAGCAGGGACGAAAAGGTCCTTGGCGACAGGTAACAACAGCAGGAACCTGTGTCATCACAGTAAGCTAATACAAGAGGACCGTCAACGAAGTGTTCTGCGTTTATTTATGAGTAGGGAATACCATTTGCGTTCCGCGTGATTGGTCTTATTTTTTCGAGCATGATGCGTTATTTGAGCCCAATATTCTGCGTGAAACGCTTTAATCTTGGTGTTTGGTGTTTAAGGAGGACGGGGGGGGGGGGGGGGGAGGGGGGGTCCCTACCCTCATTTATTAACTAGTGCCATTTTGTGAAAGTGTCAGGGAGAGGTTGATGGAAGAGAAGGGCGAACGGCAACATCATGGCTGAAGTAGTGTTTAATCCTTATCATATTTTCAAACAAATTTTGATATCTTCCTCCATTTTTACATGAATTAAAACTTAAATATTCACCAACTCATTGTGTAAAAGGAATGATTTGTTGGGGGAGGATATAAAAACTTAAAACATATAAATATATGGAAGACTGTAAAATTAAAATTGTATATAATACCTGCAAGTAGTATATTTTGTACAAATGGTGCTTCCTTCACATCTGTTGCTGTGTAAATTACACTGACTGTAGATGCAGTAATAAACTCGGGTTCGCTAATTTCCCTCTGGCATTTGTCATTTTGATGAATTGCAAAACAATTCAAAGTATGCGTGTATAATAACTAAATCTGATTTATCTGTAAGCTTATGTTGATTGTTAAAGCATGGTGTTAAGGAACTGCCTACCTCTTGTATGTGTCCTCCCTGTGCCCGCGTCTGAGACGCATCTTCTTCTCATCTGGTTCTATCCCGGGGTCGTTCCCCGAGGCGCAGGACCCGGGGGTACACCTGGGACTCCATTCCCAGGGGCTGCTCCCTGGGGTGGAGTTTTGACTATGTTGTGGGGTACACCCGGGCGTGGCCCGAGAACGAGGGGTGGAGCTATTGGAACTTGGAGAACTCCCCAGAGATTGGCTCAAAGATGGCAGTCGTCTGTTGAGCATGGCCTTTCGTAAATAGATAGCAGCATCTTGGTTCCTATGGTCCAAAGACACTCGGGACAGTAGATTTTTGGTGTCCCTAACTTTTTCTGTCAGTTGAGAGAAGCTTTTCAGCTGAGACCTCTTAGCTATCGAATCCGCTCGCGGTCGTAAGATCCCTTCTGTCATTTTTAGATTTTGAGCATTAAGAATCTCCATTCTTTTTGTCTCATTTATCCTGTTCACTTTCGCCACAGAACCCACCCAGTGATCCAAGGCGGCGCTTTGATGTTTCCGCGCAGACGACAGCGACTTGGGTCGTCTGCCTGGGAAATAAACCTGTTTCTGCGGGCCTGTATAGATATTCATATCCACGGGTCCTGCCTTGTTTACAGACTGTTACTCAGCAACTGGAAGAAATAATGGAATAACGTGCCATGTTTTACATCAATTACAATGATTTAATAACAGTAGCCACGCCATAGCGTCCATTCCGGACGCCGCATCACCTGCCAAGAATGGTTAAAACTCACCATTTCGCTATTGCACTTGTGACTGTTGTCATGTTTATTTTTCCGTGCATTCTAGCGTTCATTTATTCAACTGTTGCTATCATGGCAATCACGCGTTAGAATAAGCGGTGGTCAGTTGAATGTTATTTTTGCCATATTAATTGGAACACTTACTACGTAACTAACTCACCGTGCAACTGTACTCCAGGTTGACACAACCCATGCGCCTTTGCCGCCTGCTCTGTATTGATGTTTGTCTGACTGGATGTGTGTACGTATATACCTGTTTATCTTTCTATTTATTTTTCTTTCTTTTCATCTTGTGCGGTACACATAGAAGACTCTCCTTTGATTTATTTGTCACGTTTCATGAAAAACAGTCGGAGATGAAGTGAAATAAAAGCTTTGTTTCTATTTTATCTAGCTGCCCATTCCTCTCGTTTTGACTCATCTCAGTCTTCATACTTCCCTGTTAGTTCTATTCATATTCCTGTGTGAAAGCAATCAGAAAAAAAGTCTCTCAGGATGCCAGGAAAGTATCTGAAGTTAACAATAACGTCAGGGACGACAATTCAGAAAACGTGGGGTGGTAGGAAAGAAAGACCGAGAGAGAGAGAGAGAGAGAAACGAGCAAACAAGCAGCGTCTTTAGAAAATACAAAGGGGACAATAAATCGTGTTAGAAGAAATTAAATATAGATTTGCACATAAAGGGCGAGAGTACTTGTGACACGATTTGACCGTAGTTAGGCTGCTAGCATTCACTGCCTTTTCACAAAATCTCTTTTTTATTTAGATAAATTAGAAAACCAAAGAAATGATTATAAACTTTAAAATTAAGTCGTATTTAATGCAAATAAAGCCGCTTCCCCGTTAACTGCAATTTCATTGCGTCATGTGTATTAATTTAATTCTTTATATTTTAGCCTTTTAGATTTTTGGGTTATGAAGTTAATGCAAGAGTAACATACTCACGTTGTCTTGCAGTTGACCCTTTAGTGGTGTCCAAGGAAAATGAGTGATCTGAAAAAAATATGAATAGATAAATAAACAGAGCGACAAAAATTAAGATATTTGCATTTCAATATTCTTCGCAGTCGAAAAGTTTCAATAATGCTAATAAACACAACTAAATGAGAAATATTTCAATTTAAGCAATATGCAATTTAAGCTATAAGAATTTAAGGCCTAAATTCTCATAGCTTAAATATCGGACAAACTCTGACTACTGTGCTTGTTCGCGAGTTATATATGAACATCGTTCAGTTTTTACAATCTGTCTCTAATCAAGCGGTTGGTAATGTGATGTTTCAATCTGTGTGATCAAGAAACAAAATTCGCTTCTCTGTTTTCTAAATCAGAAATATCGATATCCCTTTTTCCTGCATCAAAGGAAGTCCGGGTATTTTGCCGAAGCGACGTATATATTCGATTAGCCGATGTATGAATACGGATTTTTTTATCATCATGAAAGAGAGCATACAAGACGAGTTCAGTTCGACAAACTGCTTACTCAACATGAAGCCTCTAGATTGATAAAACTATGTACATTTTTACTCACAAGAAAGAAAGTTCTCTGTCTCGTGACAGCAACAGCGTCTAGTCAGCAAACAAATGCCACATGCAACGCCACGTGTTACATTATACCAGTGAGAAAAAAGATGTTTTGTGTATGATTGGGTGCAATTATTGCTTCTCTCCATTTTTTCTTTCTTTTTTTCGATTGTTTTAGACCATGCTCGTTAACTGGCAGTCGGTGTGAATTATACCATGTATTATAAGCACAGCACAGAGTCGGGCGCACACGGTGGGATATCCGCTGAGCTACCCGCCTCGCCAAGACTTCGGATGTAATTTTCGTACTCAAGTCGACTTCATATACTACAGATACACGATACGTCTACTTATGCAACCGCAGAGACAAAAAATATATCAAACAGACAATCCGATCCTTCTGAAACTGATACTTCAGCTTGTAATTCACCGAGTACGTGGGACTTCTCAAACAGATATAAAACACTTGACTTCAAACCAAAGCTGACTTTCAAAAACTTTGAATGATCATAACTAGTCCATTAGTCTCAGCTGCATTTATCTAGACCCCGATAAAAAGCGATTTACAACTTGACGCAAAGCCCCAGTGTAGACACTGAAAAGGGAGACTGTTTTCCACAAAAATATTCAAGAATTTAAAACAAATAGCTAACGTCTTTTCAATGTTTACAAATGTTGCAACATTTTTTTTTGAATGGTGAAGTTTCCGCCTTGTTCACAACCGTGAATTCCAGACAAAAATAAATCTTAAACGTTGACTCAAGTAATTTTATCTTCTGCCTTTTTCGCTATATTTTTTCATCTTAAAATCTAGACTATTATCTTCATACTTAAAAATGATCAGCACTTTTTTCAACAAAGTAACATATATTATTTTACACACTGGAGAGTTCCTTACCTTGACTTACGACCTTCACAATTTCTGACACGCTTTTCGGGTAATTTGTTCTAAAAAACGCGCACCTGATGACGTTAATGAGGATGTCACGTCCCACGTACATACAGTAGTGCCGTCATATTTGCAGCAGTGAGACGAATTCCACATCCGGGCACTAAAATCACAAACTCTTGATCGCGAGAGAAAAAACGTTGGGTGGTGAAATTAGCGACATGAATATTCCATAATACTCGGATATTATTACTCCATAATACCACTGAAGAATTGCCCAATGTTCTTTTAGCGTATATCGTTTCATCCTAATTGTTATCCACATGCAGACGAAGCATGCTCAACTGAAAACTGGTAGTCTGCCACTCAGTTATCCGCTTTGTCCATAGATACAGTATATTATAGGTGTATCTTTAATATATATTTTGGGTGAACTAGGGTGAACCTACACGTACAGGTCAAATAAAGACTAAAAGAACTGACGTTCTCTACGTACGAAATAACCGTGGCAACAATCATCAAGTCGGAGGGCACACAGCATGCGGTCCATGGGATTACCTTTGAACTCCATACATCCATGACAAGGGTGTGACTTGCTTGGGGTAGCGGCAATCAAAACTGATGAGTTTGCCGTCTAGATCGAACCATCTGGTGTGAACGCGTCCACCATGACCTTATCGGGCTTTAATATCTCCGTGTTATCATCCCCTGTCTTGTCAATGATGTGTATTTTAATTAAAATGTACATCTACCTATAGAAATAAGGATAAAGATATTTTTGCTGATGGTCTAACTAAGCCTTGAGGACCCAAATAACCCCCATATATGCTTAATGACAAAATAAATTACCCTACCTACCCGTCCTTAAGTAAATATTATTGCAAAACTGTCTTTTCCTGCCATAGATTGATCATTCTTAATAGCCATATGATTTTAAGGTCAAATATTTTCTTCTCTTGTTGCTAGTGGTAACTCATGCAAATAGCGACTTTGTTTGTAAAAAACAAATTCCATACTCGATGGATTTTTGACACCAACACCGAGACGTATGATGCAGAATTCATTTGTCCGACCAGTTTGGAAATGTTTAATAGATTCAAACTTTCTAGAGTTTTTTTAATCAAAACACACTTTTCTTGACAACGAAGTTCAGCTGTAGCCTTTTTTTGTCACAGTTAACTAACAGCAAAGAGAACAGAAGGAAAGGATTAAAGAAATCTGGGTCCGTTAAACAAAACTAAGTCACAAAAGATTTGTTTTGATGGTCCCATTGACGATAAAAAAAGCAATTTCTTGGAATCAAAATATTTTTTGTTTGTTTGTTAAATATGTAAATTTGTCTCGATTGAATGTATGATCTACGTTCACCAAAATAAGTTATCACTTACAAAGGTAAGAGATTTAAATGAAGCTCTAACGTCCCAGACAACATGTATGAAGTGAGGCTGAACATTTTTATGCATTAGCGGAATAAATTAACACTATCATTAGAAATTTGGACAATTAATGTTCTGAGAGAAAAAGTGAAGCAGAAAAGGGGAATTTTGGCATTCTGGGAGAATACCGTAAAGGAAATAATTCGTGCTAATATATATCTGGGGGGAAGAACCTCTTACAATATTGCCAAACTCAAAGTTACAGTATTCTTACATGTGTCTATATACGTTTATAAAGACAAATTATATGTCCACCATCACCACCAATAAAATCTTCACTTGCTTTTTTTAAATAGTGAAACGTACAGAAAGTGTGGTTGTGCTTTGGGGCCTGCATGGATATTAAAAAAAAAAGAAAACAGGTGTCAATCGTCACCATTGGATAAGAAAGAGGGTTATAATTCTGTGGCACAAAATGACATTGTTACCATTAACAACATTCATTCACTGCCAAAACGTATCAACACGAATTCCCTTTAAATGCACTAAATACCCAAGACGCTGTGTTTTATGTAAACATCTTAAGGTTACTGTGGGTCCTGAGGCAGGTCATTGAATCTAGATCGTTCTATTCACGAAGCACATAGTAACAGGAAGTTTGTTTGTAAATTATGATTTGATATGAAGAGAGAGAGAGAGAGAGAGAGAGAGAGAGAGAGAGAGAGATTGCGATAGATGCGCTGTTGAGAAGCATATAATCATTGAGAATACCACTATTTTAAAACGAAAATACATCTACCCTGCCAATAAGTTACGTTGGGCATTCGACCTACATATCAGTTACTGGTCGATTTTATGACAATGAACTTTTGCGAATCGTATTGCGTTTCTTCTGTCTTCATTATGTGACAGTGCATCATCTGCATGTGTTTATAGTACGCCAGAGAGAGAGAGAGAGATAGAGAGAGAGAGAGAGAGAGAGATGGGGGTAGAGAGGGAGGGTGAGAGAGGGGTAGGAGTTACATTATACGCCCTGTAAAACGAGGCATGGGGGAGCCAAATTGCTGAGTATAAGTAAAATGAGGCATAATATATGGAGTGGTCATTTGAGATTATTGGATATCACAACAGACAAATAAATAGTATTGCCAAAAAGCGGAAAGAAGGTCAACGAAAAGGTTCCACCCGGTCTATCACTTCAATCAATCACTTCAATCAATCAATTGATCAATCAATCAATCATCCAACCAATTTTATCAATTAATTGACCATATATTTTACCTGAGTGTGTCATCCACTTTTTAAAGCAATAGGCCACTGAAGAATATCAATAACAATTTAACAAAGAACAGCAAGAAAATGTTGTAAAAAGCTGCTGAATTGCATCAGTTGAGCTTTAGTCACTACATATTTTACCGGTGTTTTTATGCAGATAACTCAACCAGCTGAAACGTATATTTTCTAGAAAGCTGTCATTTCTTTGAAATAATTAGATAATCGTCTAGGTCAGTTGTCGGGTGCGGCTGATGTGCATTGCGCCATCTGGTGACCTCTAGTGTAACACATGCTTTGTCACAATTACTACAGTGAATAACAATAAAAACGGACGTTTACCAAAACTAGGATTTCTGCAAGCCGCGACGACATTTGATATTTTATTGTATTCGATTATATTTTACAGGATTAATTTATCATTACAGGTATATGTAGCATGGGTTTACATATGTTACTTTGACATTTATGACATTTGATTGGAATAATTATTAACTCGTTTATATCTCTTTTGCACGGAAAAGAAAATATTGAGGAATTTCCAGCTGTTGCAGGGCTACTATAATTTACAACCTGAAAAAACTGAGTTTAAATATCACTGAAAACAATAACAGAAAAATCAGTTATCACGCTATGAGACCAACGCAAAGGTGGCAAACTTTTGAGTCCAGGGACACTTAAAACACAGCGCTGGATAAAAAAAAGTTACGAGGAAGGTCAGTACTATGTAAATACAGCAATATCAATAGCTTAAGTCCGAGACAGCGGTGATTACGGGCGCAAACTGAGTTCGCCCTGGAGATTATCAAAACCTTTTAATCGTGAGCCAAGCATACAGAGAAGGCAAGTAATTAATATAGCACGCGTCACCGTGTTTCTTTTGTAATTCAGCGTATATGGTCTGTATACTGACGCAAGAATGATAAAAACTAAGTTTTGGTGTTGATAAGAGAGAGAAGTTAGCGACACGAAAAGGTCTACATTTAGCTATGGAGATTTTACCAGTAACATTACACTTTGACGCGTGAATGTTTTTCGTGAAATCAAATGACTGCTCCGTGGGAGTTCACTCTACACATCAACTACATGATTTCAGAAATGTGTTTCAAGACCATGTTCACAAGACATGATAGTTACAGAAAGTCGAAAAAAGTACATTTGTACGGAAAGTTAATACAGCCAACTAATATAGTAGCCCTGATAATTGCATCTTGCGAAATAACCGCGACTCAGACGCTATTGACAAGAATTTCAAGGCGATAGCCAAAATTAATTGCCCAAAGTTATCGCTCTTTCTTCGCAGCGAACTGATAAATTGTGATGCACAATTAACGATACACTGGGTAAACACAAATCAAAATAGTCTTTTGTGCTGTGTAATGCACCAAGACCAGAAAAACGCTACCCTGATTTTTTTTTCATTTTGAATTTGAAAATAAGGTCTATTTCTCTCAGAGAGAAAATGGAGCTGCCGGTAAGTAATGAGATACAAGTTGATCTGAGACTGATTGTGAGAAAAAAAAAAGATTTTTGATTCTGCCTGTTTCATAAGTAATGAATTTTATACATGTAATTACTAACGTATCCAACACTAGAAATTGAATGATGTGTTGAACCGATTAGTTATTTTTGATGTCGATGAAATACATTTACTACATGTTTATCCAAAATATTGCCATTTATCATTGTCTTTTTATAAAAAACAGAAGCTACCCTGGTGGCCCCGCATTATTTCTAAACCTTTTAACTGAAGGATGAGACACACGGGAACATTTGTAGTGAACGGTGATACCACCAAACCCAGCGACAAATATCGTCAACGCCATGAATACAGCGACTCCTACTTGTTTGAAGACTCTTCTACCATAGACACACTGGAACTACCGCAAGAGGGAGTCATGTCCAAGAAAACACTTTATAGGTAAAGTTGTTCATTGCAAAGCCAATACTTAAGCAGTTCACTGGATTTTAATGGAGAAAACTTTGATAGTTTGCAAAGAAGTTAATCGTATCAAGTTTTATATGTTCTTTCCCATTGTCTCTCTTAAAAAGTAAAATAGGCTAATATATACAACTATATTGTCAAAAGCAAGGCATGGTAGAAAAGCAGCCACATCTGTTTTAATAAAACGACCAGTTGAGCGACCATTATTAATGAAGTTAACATAAAGAAGAAGTAAAATTCTCTTCAGGTCCACCATGACCAAGATGCTGTGCGGGTTGTACGCACTGATCATAGTATGCCTGGCAGTTGTGTTCCCAGTCACCGAGGCCTTGACACAGATAGAAAGGAACTTCAAGTACTATGTGCAGGTGAGTTCTACATATGTCACAAAATTACATATCAAACCACACACACACACAAACACACACACACACACAGAGAGAGAGAGAGAGAGAGAGAGAGAGAGAGAAGTGGAGAGGTGGAGAAAGAGGGAGAGTGAGAAGGCGGGTGAGTGATAAATGCACAGTTCACAGTTCGTGTGGGAAGTCTATTTACAAAGGTAAATGATGTCAAGTTAAAGGTGAGCAAAAATATTAACAAGTGTCCCCAGAATTCAGCTTAATCGTGGTATTCTTGTTTTGCATTGTTTTATAAATATATTTATTTTCTTATAAACCACCCCATCTTATATAATCCTGTTATCACCACAGACATACTACAGTACTTTCTCGTTCCCTACACCAGATTTTCCAGCTGTACATCTTCCTGGTCTCCCTGGTGTTCCTGCTGTACGTTCACATGTTTCTCCTCCGCCAAGGAGAGGGCGACAACTTCAACAATAACATCACGTTGTCTTCTCCCTACGTGGTCTCCGTACGTGACATCAGCCAGCCACAGCAGACGACAGCCGGCGGGGGGCGGGACGAAAGCAGTAACGTCACGGAGGAGGAGTCCCCGACGTCCTCCAGTCCCGTGAACAACCTGAGAGATGGCGTCTTGGAGACGGAGATGCTGGGGGATGTGCCGTTTACAACACACAGCGGAACGGCTGTCAATTTCTACCTGCGTCTAGGAGCTATAGGTAGTTCAATTAAAGAAAAACTAGTTCGACTGGTAAATCCTATTGAACCATACTGAGGCGGGCATTTTTCTTTGTGACTTTGCAATGAAGTATCTAATAGTGTTTCTAGTATTTTAAGGTGTAAATTAGTGCATGTATATGATAATGGTGGGTAAATGCATGCAAATTGTTAACAGTATTTTGTAATGTTATATTTTTCTATTCTTCCCAGTGTTTGGAATAGGAAGCATGATCCACAATGGTTTCCGCATTGCCCAGTACTTCCAGTTTGACCGCGTGCTGCAGTGCGAGAGCGCCCTCTATATAGTTGTCAACGCGCTCCACCTTTTCTTCACGTTCTTTCAGACATTCTTCATATTCAAAAATCACTCGGTAAGATAGATTTTGTCGATATCTAACATCTTTTGGTTTAATTTCATGCCACAAAAAAGACAATTAAGAGCTAAATTATAAGGAATGCAGCACAGGCTTCAAACAACTGCGCATGTGCGAAAAGTGCGCTGTTTGAAATGAACAAGTTGGTGAAATTGACAAAGCCTGCCGGTGTTTACCGTCTGGTTGATTTTATTTCATTAGCTCTCTGGTGTCTTTTTGAAAGTTTATATTAGAAATTCTCTATTGATTTTATGTTGTAAAAAGTAAATCCGTCTGAATTCCTTAGAAAAGCATTTATTTTACCTTCATTTTAAGGGGATTCCCATTGTATTTATTAGTGTTATATGTGGCCCCAATGGGGATTTTCACACCTCCCCCACTCTTGATTAATAAAATTCTTCATCTGGAGGATTGTAAATTATATTGCAAAATACATTGAAAATCGTAGGAAGGTTAACTGCAGATAATGCTGCGAGGATATTCTTAACAGTGGGGGAACTCGGCCAATATAAAATTTTTAACTTCGTTTTACGATTTTGGAGCGCCTGTTCTAATTTTTGAAAGCGAGGCAATGGAACCAAACAATGCGATACAGTTTGTAATCTCGTAAAAATTGCTATTTTTATATAAAGGTTATAGCATGGAGTACATCGAAATGCGACTTGTTTATTATTATAATCTTAAATATTAATAATATAAAACAAACGATATAATACGTTCTTAACGTTAGCCTATTTATTAGCTTAATTGATTTTTTTTTCGTATTTGGAGATTAAAAACACAAAAGTTGTCTGGTTTCATATCGAGGCACTACGTTTCGTTCGTGTGCTAAGGAATGCAACAATGGTACTATGCAGGGGCGTAACTAGACCTTTAAAAATTGTACGCACGGTTTTTTTTTAATTCCCAGCAAAATGTAGACTAACGCAAGAGATGAAGGACAGCGTAATTACAGCATATGTACCACACATTGCAGCTTAATTTCCATTAATAATAAAATCATCATTTAGTCAGAAATATTCTCGCAATTAAAAAAGCTTCAATATTCTTATTACACANATCGAGGCACTGCGTTTCGTTCGTGTGCTGTGTATTCCACGTTCATACCGCTTGCAATTCTACGTGGGATCCACGTTCAAAGTTACGTTGCTGCCATGTTCTAGGTAACATGGAGCTGAAACGTGTATTCCACATTCATACCGCTAACAATTGTACGTGGGATCCACGTTCAAAGTTACGTTGCTGCCACGTTATAGGTAACGTGGAGCTGAAACGTGTATTCCACGTTCATACCGCTTGCAATTGTACGTGGCAACCACGTTCAAAGTAACGTTGCTGCGACGTTATGTGTAAAGCGTCTGTATTAATAGGTCTACAGACTTAACCAACCAAAAAGCACAATGTTATAAAACTCGTTTGTTTGAAGTCTTTGAAGGGGAGAAGAAAGTATTGTGAAGACGTTAACAATTTACATGGCACCACATTTTTGTTTTTCTCGAACTTAATCGTTCTCTGTTATAAGTTACAGCTGAAAAGCAGAGTTAAAAGATAAATTAATCAACCAATAAATAATTAATTTAAAGACATATTAAGTCAATTAATATTTTAGTGAGAACAAAAAATGAATGGTTTTGCATTTTTTAATCACAAATAATCAAGTTTTATGAGGGTGCTCAAAGCAATCGTTCAGCTTTTATTTCGACTCAACCATCGCAATCAAACCAAATGCAGTTATGGATTTCCTCCATGGATTTATTTAGGGCCCTACAACTTAATGTGTTTTATTTTTCAGAAATTGCGTATTCCGTGCTTTTATAGTCCGTAAGCCTTAAGATGATCTCACCTTTGCTGGAAATAATTCGTTACATGTAAAGACAAATGGATCTTATACTAATAGATTATAGATTGCAGCTCTCTACGACCTTTACGCAACTGCATATTGGAAAAAGTTCCTGCACAGCTGATCCATCTAGGTATGCATGAAAGTGGAGAGAATGGTCTGGACAAAACGCTCTGGGGTGACTGCGACACAGTATGGGTTTCTTTTCTTCATCAGGAACCTTAGGAAAGATGATTGCCCATAGAATAGAATAGCGATTTTATCAGATAAATTCGAGAGGCCACGGTATCCCACGTCGTTTACAAGAGTAAAAAGCAGTTTAACAACTTTCATTTTGAGATGATGGATAGTCCTCTAGCTACACTTATTAAGTTAGTAGGTACTTAAGGTGTAGGTGCATGTGTGGAAGGGCATTTTCACCTTGTAAAATAAAATTGTTTCTGAGATTGCCCTCTGACGTGGTTTTTGTTTCTGAGATTGCCCTCTGACGTGGTTTAAGTTTCGTTTCCATCGATGACTATAGCTACCAATGGTCAGTAACAAAAAGTCATTAAATTTATTATCATAATATGCATGTTTCAAAATAACTATTCAACACACTCAGATTTTTGAAGATGAGATGAAATGGCAACATATATTGCGTATTCTAGGAAAAATGCAATTCTTGAAATTAAATTTAGCAATATTTAGGCCTATTATACAGCACTGCTTGCAAACCTCTGTAGGAACATTAACATGGATGCTGAACAGCTGTTACATAAAGGCGTTTAATCTGAAAAAGAGATCCAAAAACAGATTTACTCATTTCTTTTCCGTTTGTATGCGTGCAGAAATTCTTAACGAACTTATAATCTCATTATCCTTGAGAAAAAAAGGTTCGAACTCAATAAACTAAACGGCCTCTTCCGATGCCCGATCTGTAAAAAATGTTCCCGGCGTTCCCTTCCTTTTGTATCATCTACGGATTTTGCTTCACCCTTCCCCTTCTTTTGGAATATGTTTGACCCTTTGATTTGAGCGAGTTATGTTACAGGGTGACCCCTCCCCGGGTGCCCCTCCCCCCCTCCCCCCAAAAAAGGTACTGCAATAAAAATACAAAAGGTTGAAAGAAGTCCCTGTAGCCAGCAATTTAAAAGGGAGAGGAGTCCTTTATTATATAAAAGTGAACCTTTTTATGCCATAGATATATATAGAAATAATGGAACATTATTGATTCAGAGCGGAACAAATGTACGTTCAACCCTCCCCACCAACATCCCCCTGTTAATGGACCTGGCGTGTGTCATCATGCACATGGAAATGATTTCCATATTAACTAAATGGTGTGTAAGAACCAACGTTTAACAGGTTTAAGTTTTACTAGTTGTATTTATTTTCTCAGGAACCAATCCTCAAGGGTTTGTATACTTTCCCTTCCGCAAAGTTGCGCCCCTGAACATAAACTAAACGTACTACCCATTATTTTTAACCGTGTGCCAGTGCATTGATAACATTCTAAAGAAATTATTTTTTAAGCTTCAATACATTCTGTGCTAGCACATATCGACAATAAAACAATACAACACCACAATTGTTCTAACAACCAAATTTCCACACAAAATGTCATTCTAGTCGGAAAGACAAATTGATGAACTGAAGTGAAATGTGTTGAAAATATGAACTGAACTCGACAAAAACAATGAAAAGCAAAAGCATTTATTAGTTTGTAAAAATGAAATATATAAAAATACAAATTGCTCTGAAAATTTTGCTGTCACCAAAAATATAGCCAACACAAAAATAATCGACTTCCACATTCTCCGTAAAATTATGCAAACGTTTACACTGGAGGTATAATAAGATGTACTAAGTTGTCAAGTTGACAAATACGTATATATATATATGCACTGTTCTTACCAGCTCCAGATCCACCAGGGTCACAGATACTTTTTTTTACCATATACTCCCAGATATTTCTCTGGTTATTACGAGCACATTACTATCCGGCGAGAATTTTTGCACAGAAATGACGTCATTAGTCACTCAGCTGCCCTCTGGTAGAGAGAAATATGTACATTTCTAATACATATAGCACTATACTAGTGTATGCTCAGATCCTGCACTATGCCAGCTAAAGTTGACTTCTTGATGGATATAGAAACTTCTCAGAGTGGGTCCAACACCCCGCTCATACAGATGTCTCTGATCTGAAAGGTGAAAAACAAAAGTATCAGAACTTAAATTCAATGTTTTATTTATTTCCAGATAAATAATGTAGTTCCAAATGTATTATGACTCATTTTGATCACCATTCATCCTCTTTACATTTCAGAAGGTAATATCGACATACGGCACCTTTATTTGAAATGAAGGGTTTAATCGCTTTAAATGTCCGAATAGGAAAAAAAACATGTCTGGGCACGGGCATTTTCATACGAATAGAATACATATTACTTCTAGTCAAATAGGAACATTTGACGAGGGAAACACCAGCAATAATTGTACGAGTGACTTTATTCTAAAAATCTTTCGCCAGACATCTGACATAAACTATGTTTAATATTTCTCAATTTTGTAGCGATTTATCAACAAGCAAATTTGGGACAATAAGATAACGTATGCAATCGGGTGTGGCATTGTGACATTTCATAAAAGAACTTACGTTCACAGACGGCGGGGCAGACAGGATGTAGATCAAATTGTCAGCTACTTCTTCGGGAAGAAGACACTGTAATAAAATACCGCACTCCAGTCAAACACTTTGTTGATTTGCAAAATCCCGCACAAAAACTACAGTTGTCTATTTCATTGTACCACTGGGGTTTTAATTTCGGTCAATCATTAAAACTTCGATCCTTTAAAGCAATACGTTTCTTTTGTCTTCTACATAGGAGACAGGCAGCTTCAAATACAACAGAATTTCGGTCAGGACACATTTTGAAACAGAAATACACAGTACCTGTCTCCGTCTGAACAACTGCTCCATTTTCTCCTTCCCAAATTCCGCTTCCACCCACTTTCTCGCCATTACGGTGTCCACCACAGCGGGGCTAATAGTCTGAAATTATTTAAATTATCAGTTTGTCAAACAACGTTTTCCAAGGATTTTGTCAAATGTATTAAGTATTGGTTCAAGCTTTTGTGTATGGACGACGGTAGGCTACCGAAATCATGTTACAAGTTACTGTTTGATTTAGATAGTAGTGGGAGGAAAACATGGGCGAGTGACATCAAGCATCTTTTATATTCATATGGATTTGGAGTAGTATGGGAAAACCAAGGATGTGGAAATGTGGCACTTTTTATAGAACAGTTTAGACAACGATTAATGGATATAAGCAGGCAGAATTGGTATTCCTCAGTGCGCGAATCAGGCAAGCTAAGGACCTACAGCTCATTTAAACTAGATTTGGTATTTGAGGAATACTTATCTTTTGTGTCCATAGCAGAGCATAGAAGAGCCTACTGCAAGTTCAGAATATCAAATCACAATTTACAAGTTGAGAAGGGTCGGTATGCCAGTGTAGATGGGGAAAATAGAGTATGTGCTGCATGCCTTTCTGATGGCATAACAATTATTGAGAATGAGGAACACGTGTTAATTTCATGTAGTTTATATAACGGTCTAAGGGAACGCTATATTCCCGAGATTACAACATTGTCACTAGCGACTGCTCTGTCATCACATAATGTTGACTTTATAAAAAGACTTGCTGCCTTCATATATCATGCAGAGAAATTAAGAGATGTTCTTTTAGATAAGTAATTAGTGTCATTTATGATATATATCCCTGTGTAGTCAGCTCAGTATTATAAATAGAACTCAATTTATGTACTCTTGGCCTGCAGGCCTGAAATACAGTGAAATAAACAGATTGATGTTGCCGTTGTTATTGTGTTTTGGATATTCATATTTTGCTAAATCCTCAAAGACACCCACCAGAAACTGAAGGAATTTATACTTATGCTAGAAAACTGGGTTTTGCCAGAAGAGGAAAAAAAAGCTAAATACAGAAAGGTGCGTTATACCATTTACAGTAATCTTCATAGATGTGTTTTCAATCTTATTTATGCATGTTCTTTTACAAAGAATAGACCATAAATAAGATTTGTAGGGGAACAGAGAAAACTATTGTACTAAAATGGCATTACCAGTGCAATTTCAGAAATATTCTGAGAGAGAGAGAGAGAGAGAGAGAAAGGGAGGGTGCGGGGAGAGGAACTTACCGACACACGAATCATAGACTCCTCCGCTCTCAGACAAGCCCTCAGACCCTCTGTCAGACATTTCACTGCGTGCTTAGTAGTTGAATAAAAATGCATAGCTGCTATTTCACGGCAATAACGATGCCCAGTTATGCTGAAAAATGAAAATGAAAAATTTTGATCAGACGATTACAAAATTGTATTGACATTGAAAATAATTTCCAATACTGAAGTCGATTTGATATTGTGATTTGATGTTGATAGATCTTTTGGACATGAAATTTGAATCACAGCTAACTAAGTAAGCACAGAATCGCCGTCGATTCGGCTGTATGCCTGCATGCAGTGATTTTATTTTGCTTTCTTTTTATTACTGAAAGTCAAAGGAGAACAATAATTCCTAGTCATTTACCTGCTTATGTGAATAATATGGCCATCATCGACTTTTCGCTCTTTCATCGACTGCACAGCCATTTGGGTTACTATGGACAGGCCCATGATGTTGGTCTGAAAACGAAAATTTGGCATCAGTGAAACTTTTTTTGTTATTAAATTCAGTAAAGATCACACCAAATATCTATTCTAATGTTAAAATTTTCTGTAAGATGCAAAGTGGAACTGTCGCACATTTGATTAAAAAAGCACCAGATATTTCATCGTGTTTTCAGATTTATGTGTATGTTTGATTAAGGAAGTCGGTTAGGCTCAACAGAAAGTCCTCCCGCCATATAGTAATAATGGCTAGGGTTAGTTTGACCTAAGTGGGTCGAAATCTAGGGCGAGGCTCACCTGTACAAGTGAATGGGGGACTACCTATCACGTTACACTGGTCTAAAATGGTATAATACTCACGTCCAGCATTTTCTGGAAGGTGTCGGTATCCCCAACGAGAAGCTGCTGAGTGGACAAATACGCAGCGTTATTAACACATACGTCCACCCCACCCACTTGGTCCTTTATGGCCCGGAACATGGATTCGATCTCAGATTTCACTGTCAGGTCACATTTCATGGGGATCAAACGTCCTGTCTCTCCTTCCAATTCTTTTGCTGTCTTCTGTGAATAAAAACAGAATGTGTATAATTTAAAAGTTAGCAAATTTGCTTCAGGTAGGCTGTGTGTGTGTGTGTGTGTGTGTGTGTGTCCTGAAATACGCGAAGTAACCACTCACGATCCGTTTACTCTGTAAGCAGAAGACACAAGTTATCTTTGGGGCCATTCAGAAACAGTAAGATCGCACAAGCTAGTGCCCTCTTACTCCACGGAGACTCTCGCTGAATGCAATCAGATTAACAGACTAACACACACTTCAGCGAGAATTCCCGTAAAGTTAGTGCGTACTAGCCAGTGCGACCGAACGACCCCATTGTAAATTAAGAAATGTCTATTGCAACAAATCCTTATATCAGTTTCATTTAGTCTGTCACATCGATAGTGTTTCCCCCATAATTTTTTATTTCCCTTAAACATGAAAACCTTACCTCTATCAGTTCAACTCGGCGAGCGCACCCCACAACTGTCATACCGTGCTTCACGAGTGCGCGACAAAACGCCTCGCCTATCCCTGTTGACGCCCCGGTTACCAAGGCAACTCGACCGCTCCAGCGTTCCATAGTGATTGCTAATAGTAATAACAATTAGAAAATTGTCACTGAATCTGCAGGTATACTGAATACACATACAAAACACTTTTTTTATTTGTGTTATTATTTTTATTTCTTTTCTCTCTCTCTCTTTTTTTTTGTATATAGTCATGGTAGGCAACGTGAGCTGAAAATGTTCTCTTCTTCTCTCTAAGGAAAATCCTAGGTATATCAAACACTTAATAGTTATAAATTTCCTTTGGAAAGTATTATGTAGCTATTATTGCATTTTCTTCTTTCTCCTTTGATTCTTCTAATAGGATATGCAGATTTGGAATGAGAATAGTAGGAGTAGGTGCAAAACTTTATTTTAAAGAGTAAACGCATAGTTATAAGCAAGTGCATTTCCTCCGTGGAACTCAACAGGATTTTTAAAAATCGTCAGGAAGATACACTTTCTTGGTTGTTCGTATTCTATTTTTCGTATTCGTATTCTATTTTCAATATGCCATCCAAACAGCACGTACTTTTTTCTAGTCTGTTTATTCATAAATCCGGCCCTAGCTTTTTAAAATGACAGGCGTCACTGCGGAAACATGGCTATATAATGCATTGTGGTTAAAGCGCTGAGCCGAGATGACCTCAAACCTGAGGAGAATTTGTCTCAAAGTCGCACGCAGGCCCGTAGCCAGGGAGGTTCGGGGGGTTCGAAAGAACCGCCCTTTTTGTCAGGAAAAGTTCCATTCCAGGTAAAATTTGATCTAGGTGCACCAGAGTTTCATTGTAAAAGGTCCACTTGTTGGGCAAAAGAACCCCCCTTTTGAAACTGCTGGCTACGTTCCTGCGCATGGTACCCAACACACTATATGTTTTTACTTTTAAACCCAATAGACATATCTTTCAAAGGGGTGACACATTCTTTTGTCCATTGACAAAACACTGTGCAGTTTTTTAGTCTAAAACACTGTGACAAATAGTCTATGCATAAAGTCGGTCAGAGTTCAACGAATTTTATGCTAAGCACAATTCATTGGGGATGACGCCAAATTTGAACAGATTTTCCTGAAGATCTGAAGTCCACCTAGTTCAGATTTTACCCAGAATNGATTGAGATTGAACAGTTGCTCAAGGAATGACCTTCACCTCCGTACTTTGAAATAATGTTTAATAGCCATACGTATAGATATAAGTAAACTTAGATATGTCCATGTTGTTCAAAGTATAGTCACTGTGAAATGTATCTTTTATAGATACAAAATTGTAGACATTTATAAATAAGAATTTACATGCCAGCCCTTCAGCAGAGGTGAATTAAGGAACGCAGAATAGAGCCTACAGTTTAAAACTATGTTGGTGCTCTTCACAATCTTACTTTGAAATTGCATTGGTAGTTTAGGAATTCAACACAAACTTTGATAAGAGAATTTTGTTCCCTGTACATGGAAAATTTCTGGTTGTAATGGTCTGGTACTTTTTGGGCTTAGGCCCAACATGTTGTATATGCAGTGGAAAGACCAGTTGTGATCACATTTACCTCTTCTTACTTGTAGTCTTTTTTTAATTTTATTTATTTTATTTATTTATTTTTATTTTTTGTTGTTGTTGTTAATTTTGATACGTAGTCCCAAGGTCAAATTGTTTGAGTTCATGTGTACCTTTGATACATCAGTTGACACGAAAAGGTGTATAAAATATGTACTTTAATATAATTTAATATTAAAATATTAAAATAAACACAGAAATAATATGTCGAATAAGTTACAAAGGCCCGTTCTTCTAATTCCAATTTTCTGCAAAATATTACTTAATAACTGAGTGAAATGTAAATATTTATATGTTGTGTTGCTTATTGCATCTGTACGTGTATCTGGAACTACCGGCTTTGTAAATATTGGTATGGATATTGAACTTAAAATATTTGTCGGAAACCGTTATACCGAAATTATCGTTTTTTACCAAAAAAGAAATACAGAATTCTTTTAGGCACACGCGACATTATTTTGGATGTAGTAGACTACTTGAACTTTACTTTATCTGTAGATATACACTCTTCTTCTATTGGACCTTGCTGGATTCAATTTATAGTGGATTCCGTGTTTACAGTACACACCAATATGGGTTTCAGACCCCCCTTAATTTTATTGTATTACAAATACAAACCAATATTTACCGTTACTGTAACACACCTATAGATATGCTTTATTATTATAACAATACCTCCTGCATAAAACTGTCTATCTTAGATTTTTAAATCAAGATCAACAGAGCTACCCGGAGATCGGCAGTAAGTGCAGCGTGCAACAAGAGCCTGCTATTTAATATAAACGTCACCTTTGTCAGCTCTTGATAAACCATTTCCGTTTGTTACTGTTCTTCGGAAATTGTCTCTGACAGCTCATTGGCACTTTCATGAAGTATACAAGTTTATTTGAATAATTCTTATTTGGCGATAGAGCTCGTTTACATACAGTCGTAATTTGATAGCAGAAACTTCGTAAAGCACACCCCAGCATGTGTAGAAAGATTTGTGAACCAAAAGTTAAATAAAAAAATCAACTTTAACCATTCAAATGTTTGCAATACAGTTTGTTTTCGTACATTCCTAGTGCATACATTTTTTGATGGTTTTAATTAAAATATACGCTCCACTGCTGTGTTCAAAGGAAATTAACATCTTGGACCCTTGATACATGTACGTGCATTGTGATAGGGGAGACCGGGGCTAGTTGGACCCCGGGGTAAGTTGGCCCCCCACCTAGTCTCTTTAAAAAAGTAACATTGCGATGCTAAATTATTTCATTGGGATTCACTGCCGACGCTTTTTTAGCACTTTTTTATACAGTCACTTTACAAAATGATGTGATCAATTCTTTTACCCCATAGTCACTTTGTTATAAATTAATGGGGGGGGGGGGGCAACTTACCCTGGGGTCCAACTAGCCCCGGTCTCCCCTACACAAGTTGTTTGTGTATTAATATTCAATGTAAAATGTAACATGGGCCGGTGGCCTAAAATTACTGGAAAATTATTATTGTAATATACTGTTTACAGCGATTAGAAGTATCGACATACGTCTAGCGATGGGTAAGTAAATTTAACATCTGATGGCACTGTAGTTAATTTAAAAAAATTAAAGATTGATAACAAGGCGGAACGACAAAGGGTCGCCCCTGGTCTGATCATCATTCACTTTCCACGCAGACTATAGTACGAATGCTAGTGCACGCTTGACCTGACTTCTGTTTATTGATTTAGCAGCCTTTCTTACGATTTTAAAAAGGACCCCATGTTTACTAAAGAGATTGCCTACCTTTACAGGACAAAAGTTTCTTTGTGACAGAATCCATACAAAAAGGGGTCGCCTGTTTAAAAAAGCCTATAACCCCGACTGAAATGCGCATTTTGTGCGACATTACTGCCTGATTCACCTCATTGCCAAAACTGGAGGCCAAAACCTATCAGGTAAGTCTACATTAAATTTAATCAGCTAATTAATTTGTTATAGAATTCAGATATCTGTCAAACTTAAAAGCTAGAGGGGTTCGTCTGTTGAGGTTATACTCATTGCTGGTGGTAGCGGATTTACCCTATGTGGCCGGGGAAGGAAAAACGGTTGTTGACTGATCCGGAGCACCCACCTTCCCACACAAATATACTTTACACAATACGACAGGCGAACTGAGAAATACACCGCACTTTGTTCCTTGTGGTCTCCTTTACATTATGGTAAAATTAATTTCATCTACTTTATATATACTCCCTTAGCAAAAAGTGTCAGCCCTACCGCAATCATGTACATTGTGACAATGGGACCCATGGTTTTAATTTTACTATTACAAAAACAGCTAGGCAACTGAAAATGTGTGAATTGGGGATGTTAGAAGTGGAACATTGACCTACCTTGCATAATCATTGAAATTCTCCAACACCAATATTTTTTTTCAATATGAGGCTTTCTAAATGAGATGGATGCAATTTTGCCAAGCGGGTGACATATGGAAGGGGTTAGACCCCCCCCCCCCCCCCCCCCCACCCCAA